AGAGATAAAAAGTGGACATGGGTAGAGATAAAAAGAGGATTTATCGAATTGCCAGGTTGCCCTATATGGATTATCTGGTGAAGTCTATATAGGGAAAATGCCAGGACATGCCAGAGCGAAGGAACACGACCGTTCAACCTGGTTTACTTAATTGATTTTCTTTTAATTTTGCATTAGGATGAAACTTGTTTGTTTTTACACCGTTTTCCTTAAATCAAGGTCGTATTCCCTTGAATAAAGGTGAAATTTCATGTGCGGATGACCTCATGGACTAAACCTCTTCAGTCTTCGACGATGATCAGCTCCGTAGCCAATTGGTTTAGGTGATTCTCTAGCTGTTGATGGTATCTTGTGCTAGCCTTTGCTATTTCTTCCTTGACGAAACTGATGTTAGCTTGTGGATGTCATCGTTTGTGAAGAACCAGAGAACCTCAGCGTTTTGGACTGGAATCTCTATATTCTATCAATACTGGTGTTACAGGCAGATCCCCAAAGCTGAATGCCGTAGGTCTATATTGTTGATATGCAACAGTGTCTTCCTATTAGCCAGTTCAGCTTCCTAGTCCTCAGATTGAGTCATTTTCTCTTGGTTGCTATATGCGTTTTCCAAACAAAGCGTCGATATAGAACAGTGATTCCCAAAGTGGTCTATATCGACCTCCAGGGGGTGGTCTATGACAAACTGCAAGGGGTCTACGTCAGTGAACAAAATGTAGGGGTCCATGAAATAAAAATGGGGGTCCACGATAGTTGGTCTCAACATACACTGATAGTACTTATTTACTTACATTATACTATCTTATAATATAAAGACATATACATTATTTATAAAAGTACGTATGAAGTAAAAAAAATATAAAATTGTGTAAGTTGTAGGATGTTGTAGGCATTCGCTTTATGGTCGCAATACATTTTGAACTTGTAAAAACCTGCACATAATGATATACCAGTATCATCTTGTTACAAGCATACGCGCAGTCTCAGAGCAAAGATCTTAATAATTATAAAGATGTCCCAATATAAATAATAAATTTACAAAAAAATCAATATCAGGTAAGTAGGGTGTCTACCCAAAACCGAAAAACATGGCAAGGGGTCTATGACACAAAACAGTTTGGGAACCTCTGGTTTAGAGAAAAACAAAAACTGAAAAAAAAAATGTCAGGGAATACAATATATGATTTGAAACAGGCAAAATTTTATTAAAGTTTTGTTATATAAAACTAATTATTTGAAATAAATCTTTCAAATATTTCTTTATCGCAGATGTGTCAACTGTTTGAAAACAACCACATACGCGTTTATTGATATGATTTCAATAGTAATTTAAGGGCGACCGTAGCCTGTATTACGAAAATCAGATACGAAAAAGTTGGTTCAATTCTAAAAAAAAACAACAAAAAATTGTGGGGTCGATAAACCCGAAAGGTGTAGAAATAGGGCCAAATTTATATCTTGATATAAATCTCTTCGTAAAAAAATATTGGTATTGCAATACAGTGGTACCTCGCTTAACGAGCATTTTGCTTAACGATCAAAATTAATAAGAAAAATGATTCGCTTAACGAGTGACGTTTTGCATAACGAGTGACGATCAGAAGAGTAATTCCAAATTGCGCGCCTGCTTCATAATTTTTGCATATGTTTCACTATACAAGTAAAAATCCGGAAATTTTGAAACGGATTAAACTCGTTAAGCTAGGTAGAAATGGATTGTTCCTTTGTATTAAATATTACTATAATCCTACCTATATTCAAACTAAAATAATAGTTTTTTTTTTATTATTTCTATAGTATAGTACAAAACCACTTACAACTATTGACGTTTTTAGAACAATTGTTTGACAGTTGACAGAAACCATATGTTATATGTATCAATATCATTTACTTTTTAGAAAAATAAAATTGACATCGGCGCACTGAGGCAATTAAAACTATGAGATTAAATTGATTTTTGGCTAATAAATATGTTTGTTCAACTGAAAAATTATTTGTTCCACCGTATTGAAAATAAAATAAATATAGATATATTTACTTATGGTTGCAATAAATATTGCAATTTGTAGCATATCATTCAAAAGTTAAAAGAATACTGTTAGTAGGATAAATACCTTTAATTTCTATTTAGCTATTAAGTAATTTTCTTATATAATATTAGCAGGTGCGTATTATATACCATGACTAAGCTTTATATATTGGCAACGGGGTAATAAAAGATCATCGTAAATCCATCACTGTCGTCTGCTTGATAAAGACCGCAAACACCGTCTGATTTAACGGTTTGCAAATAATTTCGTTAATCAAACGATTACCTTAATTAATTAACTTCATAATCATATAATAATAAAAAATAATCAAACATATTTAGATTATTATTTGTCGCTACATTAATAGATATAATAGTAATGGTAACTAGCTGGAACTTCATATAATACTTTAGGCCATGTAATAAACATTTGTTAAAGTTAGTATACAATAAAAAATATAAGATATTTTGATATTACTATTACACTATAAATGTTTCTAGTTGTTTCTAGTTAAAGTATATATTTTATTATAATTAAAGGGTACTTATTTTAAATTGAATGTTGCACTTTAATTCTGTTTTTTATGTTGAATTTACTAATAGATTTTCCGCTAATTTATTTGGGTGTGATTGTAGTTTTCCTTGGTACTTTTCACTATAGTTAGTAAATACACTTTTAACCGTTACTTTTTACAAATCACTGTGCAAAACACTATTGAGAACACACCAGGGTCGGTGATTGTAGGCATTGTTTTTTGTTTAGAATCGATGGAGTATTTCGATGTTTGCTTTCGATGATCATACTGATTTGAGGATTGATTTGTATATCAATAATTTGTTGTCCAATGATAGCACTGATTTTCTTCCAGGGAGTCAATAGAGTTTGCTTAATTTCAGACCTAATGTCTTTCTCTATATCCATATGTGTTTCTTCCAGGTGAATCTTCTATTCAGGTGCATGCCAACATATTGTACATGATCCACTTTAATCCACTTTGCAAGTGCAGCGTCATTTGTGTATGTAGAGACAAATAAATGAGAAGTGAAGTGGAGATGAGGTAGAGAATAGTACGCTCTCTTGAATTACTCGTTATGCAAAGTTTTTCGGGATAAATTTCCCGGGAATTTTTGAAAAATATATTGTAATTGAAAATGGCACTAAAAACTATGTGCTAAAAAAAGCATTAATTCATATTTACCTGGATGAACAGTAGAAAGAAAGAAATATTGTAATTTAATTTGTTGAATTAGAAGTTATCTCTCATTTGAAAGTAGTAGTAGAAGCTCTAATTTGTAAAGACGCAACTTATTTTACAGCTGACGTTTCTCATGACAAAAGTTACTAAAATCGATAATGATCTAGGCAGAGATATGTAAAACGTACTATTAGATAGACTTAAAGAACGGAGGAATAATATCATAATCCAGAAACATACATTTTTGGATGATTTCATTTGCTGATAAAACTGTTTTAAGTTTCTCGACTTCCGAGAATTCCCGAGAATACCTTAAATAGTAGTGTCCCGGGAATGTTATGTTGAAAACATAACAAAGCTAGTCATTGAATTATTAATTAAGTTCTTACAAAGCGACTCATTAAATCAATCTATTTGAAACAAGTAAATTCATTACAATTTGATATATCTAACTTTCTACGTGCTAAGTAATTTGACTAAGAACATGTTTATATTTATACCAGTTATGTTTGTTGCCATCTAGTCCTATTGCATTGGGTTGTCCGGAAAATTCATGCCAATTTTTTAATAAAATTAAAATAAAAACTTTTATATTTCTAGGTAGTTTTACATGTCAACTAAATATTATACATTTTGCCCAGGTTACCTAACGTTACATAAGGCTCTTAAAAACGTTCGAGGATGGTTGTTTTTAAAGTCCTCGATTAGTCCGGTTTTCTAAAGACCGCAAAATAGATTCGAAGCTCCATTATTATTTAACAAACTAAAAATTAATAAATCCCAACAAATTGCAAATACTCAATATTTGTCTAATATATGTTTTAATTGATATCAGTTACTGATAATAACTGCATTAACATTGTTATGGTCTTAATGAAGTATCATTTAGTATACATTCATTAAATTAATAATTCCTCATAAATTATAGTCCAACAAATCCCAATAAATTACACTAGAGTATTTAACTTGTAACAATGTGAATTATGCAAAACGGTTATAACGGTCATGCTCTGACATTATAAAAGTGTTCGCATTAGCTCATATCGAACCATCTGTTGCGCCCAACATGTAACCACGTTTTATGTACCCCCCAAAACTCTCGTTAACTAGATGAAAGCACACCGAAACTATTAATTTTATAATTCACCGAATTTCCAGCACGTTTTCTGTCATCATATAAATCCTTTCTATCTATTCCCGTGAGAGTTTCATTTCATTCACCCACCAGGTAAGAGATTATGTTAAATGCTGAAAAAACAAACCGTAGGTTAAAAGAGGAACTGTTACGCTATGCAAATCCCATTCAATTAGAGCATGCAAATATTTGATCTACCTCACATACGGTGAAATTTTCAAAAAAAAAATGGTATTTATTGGTGCGAAAGAAAAACTGGAGGTTGGTTATAACAATAAAAATGGAAATCGAACGAGAAAAAGTTTATCTCGAGTTCGCACTCGGAATCACGTATCAATTTCAGGCCGATTTAAATGTATTTTTAATAAGAG